CAGTTTTGTCACCACGTAAATCGGTGACACAGGCATACTGTTTTACTTTTTCCAATTCAGATCGCAGAAGCTCCACGAGGAAGCAATTGTACAGCAAAGGGCAGTAGGAAAACTAACAGCATGGAAGAATTTACATATAAGGCATGGCTAAGGATGGTATGAGTAGAGTAGAATAGAAGTCTTCAACCCCCAAAATAGATGACTGAGAACAGTATGCCATTGCTGTCTGTGAAATCATGAAGGATGGATATCATGAATAAGAAATTACTATTGTGTCTTCTAGTGCAAGAAGTAGGGAATATTGAATGAAGCTATCTGGCAGCAAATTCGAAACAAAGAAAGGACGTCTGTCACAGGATCTTGTGGAAACTGAAATTTTGTACAAGTTCAAAAACAACTGGAAAAGGTTATCTTATAAATAAGACATTATCTCTGGCTCAAGAAATCCCTGAACTGCAAATAGCTAGAGGCTGGCAGAATAATTCTGAGGGAGTATCTTGATGTGTGTGCCCTGTTTTCAGGCTTCCTTAGACTTACACTGTTGGACACTGTTTTGCAGAATTTGGGGCTGTATGGAGCCTCTAATTCGATATGATGTGACCTTTCCCGAGTGATGTTCTTCTCTCTTCCCTGTTGTAAGCTGTGGAATCACTAAATTAATATTTAAAGTTTGAGATGGTGTCAGTTCAAAGCTATTGGAAGGTATTGAGGTACTGTAAAGGATTCATTTTTCCGTAATTTTAATATTTTTAGCAAACTTGCTTACTTTACCACTGCTTGATGTATAAATATATAGTAGGGGATTAGCAAGTTGAATTCTTTGTAAAACATCGATACTGCTCAATGAGGCAAACTATACAAATGGATATTTTTAATGTCTCATAATTTCAGGAGTGTTGAAGAAGACAAAAGAATGTTTTTCTAGAATACTGAAAAAATGCTATAAAATAGAATGATTTAGGTGACTGTAGATCCATGTATGTGATATTGATCCTGGGAAAAAGGAATGGAAAATGTAATACGGGATTTGGTTAATTAAGATTTAAAGTGTGGAGGCAGGCCTTGCCTGCAAGTTCATCAAGGACCGGCAGTCAAAAGGACCACCAGACAACAGAGAGGAATGAGCTGAACAGATCTAAGTTGAGGCTACAGGGCTGCAGGTTTTGAGGAGCACACAGTTTCATCTACCATAACAAAGTTTCTTTCTTTGCAGATACTGCTTTGCCATGTCAGACCCCTTCACAAAGCATTATATGTCTGCTGTAAATGTATGTAAGCCCTATGTAAATGTATGTAAGCTTTTAATTCAGAGTTCATACTGATAGAGGCCTGAAGGTCTGTCACTGTACCTTATCACTTATAAACTGCTTTTGCCTGAACTGGCACTGCCTATTTATTCCACACCAAAAAAAGAGGGATATGAATATAACCAATATCAGTCAGTTTGGCTTTTTGGAATATGTCTCGTTGGATGTGATTGGAAGTACTGCATAATATTATCTTCATGTATCTACAGCACAAATGGTTTTATGTGTTTTAGTTCCTTTTTTCTCATTACAGTAATTTTTGGAGGCAGGGGATTATTTAATGAAAGGGCTTGAGAGAGGTGCAACTGACTGTGGTGAATTTTGTATTCATCTGTAACTCAAGGTGAAATGGACCTATTGGGTCAGTGATTTAACTATAGGAGCGTAAGTTCTATTTGGTTATATAAGCTCTATCTCTTAATAAAAAGATGGAAGTGTAAAAGTATCTTGTGTTTTACTTGTAACATAATAGTCTTGAGTAGACATGAAAGTGAATGCAGAAAATAGGCCACCAGGTCTAGTATGTATACCTACAAGTCCGTGCTGCTGAGTGCGTTAGACCCTGAGATTAGCTCAGTTGGTAAGAGCATGGTGCTAATAACACCAGGGTTGTGGGTTTAATCCCTATATGGGCCATTCTCTTAGGAATTGGACTCAGTGATCCTTATGGGACCCTTACAACTCAGAATATTTGTTGTGGATTTCTATTAGCTGATAACTGCCTTGAAGGGGCAGCTTGCATTTTTGATTTGTGTCTCATTTGCATGATTTCTAAAAGGTTTATTATACCATATCTTGCCACTTCAATATTTCTTACTTACTGAATTAGTTGGGAAGGGGGTCCTCTTTGTATGTACCACATGTGCCGTTTTGCTAAGCAGACATCCTCTCTAGGCAATTGACTGTAGTTATTTTTGTGATGTGATTTATTCATTCCACAAATACAAACAGCTTAGTACAGAGGAAATGAAAAGATATCCTTGTCAGATGCTTAGCGATCCTTGAACAACTGCTGGAAAAATAAATATTGACTTACTGCTTTCAGGTGAGGTGATTTTACGTAATTACACATTTTGGAAAACATTTTATGATATATTTATTTCTGGTTGCGTGGAAGTTTAGGTTTTAGAACTTCATAATCAACTGTTCACTTAGTTAATGCATCTGAATTATTTGAGGATAAGTAAGAGAAATAATGCACTTAAAAGTAGCATTTATCTTGATGACTTAAAATTATTAATGCATACGTCTGAAAAAGTCTACCTTTTAAAATTATTACATATTTCAAAAAATATTAGTTGTATCCAATTCTTCTTCCTGTAAGAAAGCTTTCCACTTGTTCATAGCCAGTTCATATTTACAACCAAGCTTAAAAAGCCCTAACTGCAACTCTCAATTCTTAAGTTTCTAAACCACCAAGTTTTGAGTAAGCCTTTTAAGAGCTTCATTGAGTAATCACCTTTTTTTTTTGGTGAGCTTTTTTATTTGTTTGTTTTAAAGCTGTGATAAACAGTATCTTTTACAAAAGAGGAGGCAAAAACTCAAGTTAAAACTTTTCCGATGTGAGAGCAGTGACTGGAGAATCAAAGGTTGAATTCCAATTCTTATTTTTCTCTGTTTTTTACTTCCAACTCTGAACCAAATTCAGCAGAAACAAAGCTGTGTTCTGAAATCAGCTGACAAAAGCTGTATTGCATCTGCTGCTTGTTGCAAATGTTATCGAGTTGTAGTAGTAGGCTTTGATGGTTCAAGTTATGAAAATTCTGAACTGGTGTTATTGAAACTTGTCACCATATTGTTTCCGTTTATGTTGTACAGAACCTACTTCTTAACTGATGGGTTTTTTCCTGGTTTGTTAGATGTGAGACAAAGTATCAGTGCCTGTAGTATAGGAGCCCTGAGGAGACAGGGAGAATTCTTACTGGATCACTTGAATGTGTGAAGTGAGACATAGGAAAAAAATGACTGAGAGATGTTTGATTGACCAATTGGAGCTACTTATAAAAGAGAAGGACAGAAACTGGGGAAATGTAGAGAATGCTGGAAGCTGCGAGCAACAAAATGGCTGAGTTATAGGTGCACTAGCAAAAATTCCATTAAGTTCTCATTAGGGACAGCAAATGGGAAAGTGGAAAAGGGTTAGACTAATAGACTTTGCCTGTATTAAACAGGAGACCTAAGTGTGAGTGTTTAGAGAAATGAGTTTTTCCCCCTTCTATGGCAGTGCAAAGTAGAAAGAATTTCATATATATAAAGTACTCTACAGTAATATGCATGAGAGGACCCCTCTCCTGCAGAGTTTGTTTCACATATCTGGTAGAAATTCCGTTATTTTGGGAGTATGTTGTTGACTCCTGATATTATGATGAGCCGTGTTTCATATCAACTTGAGTTTTTTAGTCTTTGGCAAGTAAGTTTAGTCTTCTATCACTTGGTAGAATTCATAAATTCTTTGTGCATAAATGAAGGGTTCAAAAGACGTGTTTGTGAATGGCAAATGAGTCTGTCTTTAGGAAGTATCAGGAAGAGAGATTATTTTAGTACGTTAGCAAAACATAAAAAGGAAAAAAAACAAGAAAAGAACTACTGGTTACATTAAATAAGAATATCATATAATAAGATGTGCTAAATAGAAATGAGGGAAGTGATACAAAGAGAAGTAGAGGAGATACTTAAAACAGTGCTAGAAGAAGAAATATTGCATCTTAGTAAATAGAAAAAAATGTGCAAAATCGGAAAAAACAGTAGGAGCAAAGCTGTAGTTTTTCAAAGCTGCTGTTGCATACAAAATTGACCAGTGTGATACTATAAAATGGTATGCTAAATGATATATGACTCTTAATGCTTTTTTAGTTTCAAGGATTGTGGGAGCTTTTTTGTGTGTGAGCAAAGGTAGCTTTCTCTATGACTTCTGAGTGTAGTTCTTTGATTAACAGATACAGTGTTTATTTTTCAAGACCTACTAGATGTTAGAATCTCATTCTAAAAGGTTTTGCATGTTATTTCCATATAGAATTCATGTCAATGTGACTTGTGTTGTGAATGCTCCAAATGAGTTAAAAAAAATGAGATGACCTGTACCTTCTTTTTTATACTTTAGTTGGGGCACTGATGTCCAGTCTTCTGATTGAAACTCTGTACACAGTACCTTGGGGTGTATTAACATGGTGCTGTTTCCTTATTGTGCTGTAGTTTACCTTTCATAAATAACTAAGCAACACTTCTAGCTTTATTTAATATCCTTTTATATAAACAAAGATTCATTATTCTGTAATGAAAGATAGCCTTTTACATCTGCTGCTGGGGTGCAAAACATTGTTTGCTTTGCTAGATTATATAGATAATGAAGTGCAGTAAATTTTTTTTGGAAATGTGACTTTTTATTAATTTTTTTTCTTAAACACCCATGCAAGGACGTAGGTATTAAAATATTTTAAAGGATTTAAATCTTAAGATATATTTCACTCTAGTATACATCAAGAGAGAGCATTTAATAGTTTTTCCTTTGAATAACCTTAATATTAAAGAGATCTGTTATTTGAACAGTGTAGGAAATCTAAGAACATCAAAAATCTGGCATAGAATGATTCAAACTTCAGTATCAGTGTAAAGAAATTTAAATTCATTGAGTTATTGTCCACACATGAAAGTATATGATAAACAATTAAAGCAGTATATGAAATAAAAACTTACCTAGGAGATATTTGATTGAAGCTTTGTCTGTGCTCTGTCAGAATATACTGAGACTCACTCAGCAGATAGGAAGCTTTTTCCTGTTTGAAATGCATTGTGCACTCTCGTCTTGTGATTTCTTTTCCACAGCTTGTTGTTCACTGCTGCTTCAGTCTTGTGGGTATTAGTTGTTTCCAGTTTATTTCCAGGTATCTCCAATATCTGATTTCTTCCACATTCAGCATTTTTGTTTATTCTGCCCTAATCAGGTAACAAAAAAGAACCTGTAAACTTGGCATCTTCCCCTCCCCACCAAAAAAAAAAAAAAGAAAAAAAAAAAGCAAATGCACCGACCCCAATTAACTCAAGTATTCAGCACCCATTTAAAAAATCTTCTAAATATTTAGAATCCAGTAAATTCCATCTGTTTTCTGGTGCTATTCCAACACTGAAAAGTTATTTTCCTACATGTTTTGGTAGCCTCCACATTTTAGATTTTTGTAGGAAATATGCAGGATCAGTAGACATCAGGTCTTAACTTTTAATCCGTGCAACATTATTCTGTGAAGGATGGTGAAGGTCTGCCTCTCTCAGCTCCTTATGCTTCTGTCAGACACAGATGTGAAATGCTGCTTTAGAGCAGAGGGGAAAAAAATCCCAAAGGGTGTAGTGTTTTGTCATCTCTCAGGACAGTGAGCACGCATGGCATCAATGAGTAGCAGATATGAGCTATTCAAACCAGTCACTGAACTGACAGGATGACGATTTCATACATAATAGAACCATTAATTATTTCTTCTGATGGACAGCAGTATGTACTAGAAGAAAAAAGCAGCAGATGATAATACTAGGTTTGCTAGGTTCTCTGTGTTTTAGCAGCTTGTCATCAAGAAACAAACCAGGAAAAAAATGTGGGTTTGGGATATGATCAGGTAAAACAGACCAGAGTTGTTTTGACATGGTGGATGTCATGCATAGGGTTAAAAACACCATTCAGGTTAAGGTCAATTCATAGCTAGCTTTTTATCAAAAAGATGTTCCAAAGGATTTGCTTTGAAAATTGTGGTTTGTGTTTTGCTTCATGTAGCCTTTCACTGGGGAAATGTGGTTGTAGTCTTGTGGGTTTTCACTTATACCTTAATGTGCAGATTAAGCCTACACATTTGGGTTTTTTGCCCTGCAAAAGGAAACCTTAATGTTAAAAAAATATTTTTAAAAGAACTCTGTGTATGAAGATGGTGTTCAGACTCACTGCACACTTTGTATCAAAGACCGACTCACAAATCCATTTCTAATTAATTTAAAAATGTAAATCGTCTGATTTAATGTTAAGTAACCACACTCTTAATATGTAAGAAATTATATATATTTAGTCACTTTAATGTAGCATAAACCTTCATAAATCTGTCCTAAAATATGATGGATAAAATCTTCATTCACTGGTTCAGTGTTGTTAGGGGCAACGTATGCTGATTGTGGGAAAAATAATGTGACATTCGGAACTTCTCCTTAGAATATAGTTTCTCTCTTTTTTTTTTTCTCTCTTTGGAACCTTACTTAGTGTAAATTTTCTTTGTAAATATGTTGACAAGAAAATGTTTACTATCGTTTTTTTTTTTTTTGCCCTCTGTGCATTGAAGGTAAAGAAAAGATAAATGATGAAAGAAAGAAAACACTACTTTAAAACTGGGGTGAAACATAAACCACATCAAAGACACAGTAGGTAAAGGGGCTACTTCTACTGGTTTGTACTTGTTTGCTTCATAATTTGCCTTAGTTTAGTTTTATTGAAGCAGAAAAGTTATCTTCATCTTTCTTATTATGAAATCATGAAGAGTATCTGGATAAAGCTTTTTTTTGGTTTATGCAGTCAATAATGATAACATCAATAATGCCCTTACATCACATCAAATAGCTTTTGGAATACTTTCAGTCTCTAGCCTGCATTCTATCTAGCTCAAGACCAAATCCAAGCCTCGTAAAATATGATGGCTGTAACTTTAAATCTTAAGTTGTCAATCTTACTCTTTAGGTAAGAAGTTGAGTTGCCAAGGTTACAATCGGTATATGATGTAAAGTCCACGCTGAAGGTACTGGAATGAGGCATACTTTCTGAAATAATATTAACACTTTCTGTCTCATGATTTCTGTCCTCAAGCATACAATCCATGCCTGGAGTTGATAACCTAAGCTGAACTGCAAGTGTCCTAAATATATCAGGATATTTCATGAAAGTGCTGATTCTTATGAAAACCTTCCAAGTATTTGGAATCTGACAAGGCACAACCTTTGTATTCTTAGATAAGCTTTTGGGAGACAATGCTAGCCTGGTCTGCTTCCCTCCTTGCAAATCCCAAAACAGCGGATTCAAATATCTACTCTGTGATTATCCCCATAAGAAGTCCTGAAGCACAAAATAACTGAGCAGTGTTTTAATACACACATGTGCAAGTGCACATATAGACATACATCTATAAACCCCACTTTTTTCCCCTCTTCAGAACAAGGTAACCTGAGCTATTTGTATGTTAGTATCAAAAGTATCAAGTATTCTGTTGTCTCAAACCCAGAGATGAGGATAAACACGGATAAAGCAGCACGTTAAAATTTAGTCGATGACAGTGGTCCTGACATCTTGATATCCAATCTGAGTCTAAGATAAGGAGATGATTGGTGTTAAGAATTCAAACTCTGAAGATGAAGCTGGTTAAATTTTTCAGCCTTGACTACAGCACGAAGAAGAGGAATTGTATTTTTAGCATGGTGTTCTGAAAATCTTTTCCATTTGGTCAAACTGTAACAGGATTAAGCTATATATATATAAGCTGCATGACTAAAGGGGATAAATAACATCTCTGGTGGAGAATATTGCTACCAAAGTAGCAAAAACTTCAAGCATGCACCACTGAGCACTCTGAAGGTCCTATAGTCTGTCTCGTGCCTGGATATCTAGTATATGGCTATCAGTGCTGTACTATGTGATTACTTCTTGCAGAGTTTGGTTATCTTGCACTCACAGGATGGCGTGATGAGGGATTCCACGTCCGTAAACAGTGTCAATTGACATGAAGTTCTCGAACCTCTAAGCCAGGAGCAAGTACTCGCAGGGGGCTGGCTACATCCCTCTACATATTTTCATTTGGATCACAGGCATGTTGCAGAACTGTAAGGGGGATACTAAACAAGTTTGCAAATAACACAAAACTGGGAGGAGCTGTTGACTCCCTCAAAATCAGGGAGAACCTGCAGAGACCTCCACAAATTAGAGGACTGGGCAATCACCAACCATAGGAAGTTCAACAAGGGAAAGTGCAGGATCCTGCACCTGAGACAGGGCAACCCTGGATGTATGGACTGGGGAATGAGATGCTGGAAAGCAGTGCCACGGAAAGGCACCTGGGGTCCTGGTCGTTGGCAAGTTGAACATGAGTCAGCAGTGCCCTGGCAGCCAGGAGGGCCGACCCTGTCCTGGGGGGCATCAGGCAAAGCATCGCCAGCCGGTCGATGGAGGGGATTGTCCTGCTCTGCTCTGCACTGGGGCGGCCTCATCTTGAATATTGTGTGCAGTTTTGGGCAGCACAATAGAAGAAAGATATTAAGCTGTTAGAGAGTGTCCAAAGAAGGGCAGTGAGGGTGGTGAAGGGCTTTGAGGGGAAGGCATATGAGGGGCAGCTGAGGTCACTTGGTCTGTTCAGCCTGGAGAAGAGGAGACTGAGGGGAGACCTCATTGCAGTCTGCAATGTCCTCGTGAGGGGAAGAGGAGGGGCAGACGCTGATCTCTTCTCTGTGGCGACCAGTGACAGGACCTGAGGGAATGGCCTGACATTGCATCAGGGGAGGTTTAGGTTGGGTATTAGAAAAAAGTTCTTCACTCAAAGGGTGATTGGGCACTGGAACTGGCTCCCCAGGGAAGTGGTCACAGCACTATACCTGATAGAGTTCAAGAACTGTTTGGATGATCCTCTCAAGCACATGGTGTGACTCTTGGGGATGGTCCTGTGCGAATCTAATGGTTGGAGTCTGATGGTCCTTGTGGGTCCCTTCCAACTCAGCATATTCTGTGATTCTGTGATTATTTTCTGATAGCAGAAAAGTTAATTCGCAGTGAGGAAGAAGTCCTGTACTTCTTGGACAGACTTCTGTTTCAGTTCCTACTTTTTTGAGTGTACACGTTATAACCAAAAACCTCAAAATAACTACTATGTAGCTTTGGTTAGCAACAGGTTGAAACCGCACCTGAAAATCAGATCTATGGTGAATAATGCACTTACCTGCTTTAAGAAAAGTGCTTTTTAAAAGTTACATAAGAAGTGAGCACGATGTTTGCTTTAAAAACATTTTGCACTTTAAGTGTGTGAGCATTTGAATTAAAAGCTCACTGAAATTTCATGGGAATCTTGGTGATATTTAATATTTACAGTAGCAAACCTGATAGCTTTGCAAAAAGTATTAAGCCATGTGTTAGTCTGTGTTAGTCCGTTCATGAATAATAATTATGGATTCTTCAAGTCTTAAAGGTCAAAAATTACCCCTACTGTATGAAAGTAATTTGTCAAATATACTGGAAAAAACATTTTTCTAATAAAACTGAGTGATCAGTAAAGCTGTATCTCAGTCAACTGTTTCTACAGATTATAAAATGTATGATAATCACTAATGTTAGTAATGTAAAGAAATCGAGGGGGGAAAAAAAAGAAGACATAGTGTTAGGAAAAAAAAAAAGAAGACATAGTGTTAGAAAAAACTTTTAAGCATTTTCCTTTTTGAGAATTTTATCAGATTACCTGTTTCAAGGAAGTTGATAAGTAGTCATTGCTTTTCAGAGAAAAGCAGTGTATCTGTCAGAATTTTTTAATCACTGCAGAGCTAATGTTTTGAAGAAAATGTTGTCATTATTGCTGCTTCTTTTGTTGCTTACAAGTAGTTCTTGCCTTTATGAACAAAATACTCTTCTGCCTTATTCTTTTTCCCTTTTTCTTTGAGGATGTGTGTGTTTGTTGTGATCTCATATCAATAATTATTTGTTATTGAAGATTAAATAATTCTGTTTTGAGTGGAATATTTTATTACCTTCCAGCTAAATAAAACTCATGTGCAAAACTGTATTTTTCAGTGTTCAATATAGAATATATTGTACATTTCTTAAAAAAAAGATTAAAAAATCAATGTGTGTATAAATAAAAAGTCTTCAAAGTTTTAAATTTTTGAAATCAGTTGTACAATTATCACTGAGTAATTTTTTACTTAAAAACACAACGACCTGAATCTTAAATTATTTTTAATTTAACAGCTATATCTGCTAGCTCTCAGTGAAAGAAGATACTTTGTCATCTCTTAAAATGAGACTATTCTCATTAAATTAGTATTTCCTGTAGTCTGAAAAGTGGTATAGAACAACAAACTCAAAAGAGAAATGGATTGAGATAGCTTGGAAGAAAAGGAGATTTTGTTACCAAGGAAATGAGTGAGTAAAAGTACTTAGCACAATTCTTATCGTGTCAGACATCTGAGGCCTTTTGTGTTTCCTAGATTTTAGTTATGGCTGTCAAGTTACACTTGAGGCAAAGTGACTTTAATAAGAAATCCTTTGAGAAGGCAGGCAAATAGTTTGTTTTCTACTTTTCTAGTTGAAGTGTTGCTAGTAGATGTATTTGGACAGAATGCTTTAATAAAATTGTATAATAATAATGATGGTGATGATTTAATGTTATTTCTAGGACTGTTGAGTACTTGCAAACATTTTGGTGGAAATTTTGTTCAGTGAAATTTTGCAAGAATG